GTGCAGGGAAAAAGGGCAGAGAGAGATGGAGGGAAGAGGGTGAGGCCCCAGGCAACCGATGAACGGAAACCACGGCTTGAGAACGACCAGGAGGAGCGATGAGGAGCAATGAGGAGGAGGAGGACGACGACGACGACGACGACGAGGCTGACGACGACAAAGAGCGATGAGGAGGGGAGGAGGAGCGATGAGGAGGAGGGGACGACGACGACGACGACGACGAGGCTGACAAGGACAAAGGCAAAACGACGACGACGACGACGAGCAGCACCCGTGCCCGGCAGTGGCAGAAAAGGCGGGGGCTGCGGAGTGCGACAGGCGCCGAGGCGAGGGAGCGGCCCGCGGGGCGGCCGACGACGGGCGGCAGACGGCGGGCCCGGGCGGAGCACGCGCAGGGAAACGCCACGCCGAAGACGGGCCGATCGGAAGAAACAAACGTCAAGACGTGTGAGCGACGATCCAAAACTGGTCTTAGTAAAAGAGGAAGAAGAATAAGAAGAAGAAGAAGAGGAAGAAGAAGAAGAAGACGAAACAAACAAATTAAAGCAACACAAAAAACAGACAAACTAATAACAAAAGAAACCCAACAAAAATGCATAAACATAAACTGCTGGTGCTCCGCGCGGATCGCCAGAAGCTTGTGCTTTGCGGTTTTCTTCTTCGAAGTACGCGAGACGGCACAGCGACCTCACGCGGTGGCGCACGCGGGCCGCGCGTGCGCGGCACGCCACACTGGGCGCGCACGCGCGACCTTGCGCGGGCAGCTTCTTGCGCGCCAGCGTCGGCGCAGGCGGCCCCGTTTTTTTTTTTCTGCGCCGCTCCAACGTCAAGACACGTGCCGGAATCATTGAAGGGGCCCTGGGACACACACATAAATCGACACAAATAACAGGATTCCCCATATGTTCCTATATCTCCTGGGTTTCTGTCTTCCCCCCACTTCCCGAATTCTCGCATATTTTCTGGGGAATCGACGATTCATTGTGTCCGTGTGCTATTTCCCCTCCTGAATCATGCGTGTGGAGAGCGACACGCGAGAAGGGCGGCCCCCGCTGCTCTGGACAGCATCGACCACAGGGGGGGACAGGGGGAGAGCAGCACTCGCCGTGGCTATGGCGCCTCCTCCTCCTCCTCCTCCTCCTCCTCCTCCTCCTCCTCCTCCTCCTCCTCCTCCTCCTCCTCCTCCTCCTCCTCCTCCTCCTCCTCTCTCCTCCTCCTCTCCGCCTCCTCATCCTCTTCCCTCTCTCTCCTTCCCTCCTCGTCCTCCTTCTCCTCCGCCTCCTCCTCCTCCTCCTCCTCCGCCTCCTCCTCCTCCGATGGACACCAGAAATCTTTGCCCCATGGACCCCTGACCGTACGTTTGCTGTGCAAGGGCTCGCTGCGTCACCAGCCCACCGTCGTGACCAGCAAGGCGGCGGGATCGTGACCTCCTGGAGCTCACGCCGATCGCGGCAATACCACGGCAGGCCGAGAACGCGAAGAAAGAATAAGGAACGTGAGGGAGGACCAGCGTCAGAGGAAAGAGTGTCTGAAGACATGCTGCATTACGCGGCAAAAAAATATTGGGTAATTTTCGGGGGGAGCGCGAGCCATTTGTACTGTCGTTTGAGAGGGACAGCGGGGGTGCCAGCAAATGGCCTGCTGTGCGCAGGGCCATAATCCCTGTCAGAAAAACAATGCAAACTGCACTTCGTGGCTAAATCTGGACCATGCGCGGGCATCCCGCGATCACTTGACAGTGGTATTTGACAGGGACGACGGGGGTGATGGCATATTGCCTGCTGTGTGCAGGCCCGTCAAAAATCATGATGGCCACTCCGCCGCAATTGTGCGTTGGCTTTCGATGAAGATAGTGGGGGCCGACACACTTCCCGATGTGCGCGGGCGCACCTGGCACACTCTGCGTGCGCCGCGAATGTGGCGCATCTGGCTCGGCTGGAGCATGCGGCACACTTGGCGCACGTGAAGCACGTGACGCATCTGGCGCACCAGGCGTGCCTGGCACGTTTGGGGCCCCGGAGCGCCGGGTGCGCGTGGCGCGCCTGGCACGCGTGGCGCACCTCGCCCCAGCGACGCGCACCCGGGGTCTGTGTTGGTTCCCAGAAACTGCCCATCCAAAGACGACAGCTGAATATGATGCTGAGGCTCGGGCACTATTTTATGTGTTTGGAGGACGGGCGGGAGTGAGCCAAACAGCTTGCGTCTGGGAGGGGTGTCTTGATCACTGCTCCATTCAAAAATGAACCCATCCCCCCCACCGACCGGCAACAAACCCAGGACCATGCGCCCCCCCTTCCGCTATGCCTGTCGGACAGTAATGCAAACTGCACACGGCGGCAAAAAAACGAGTCATGACAAGGAGGGGCGTGAACACTTTGTTTTGTTCCCAACCATCCTGTGGTGTTGGGTCCTCGTTTTGAAGAGGCGGTGCCCCGCGTCTCCTTCTCCTCCCGCTGCCCCCATCCCTCCTCCCCCTCCATGCCATCACGAAGGGCCCAGTGGCGCAGGTTGCATGCGTCCCCCCACCCAGGACAGCGTTTCGTGGCCCCACAGGGAGCTCCACCGAAGATCCCAGTGGCGCAGGTTGCATGCGTCCCCCCCACCCAGGACAGCGTTTCGTGGCCCCATGGAGAGCTCCACCGAAGTTCCCAGTGGCGCAGGTTGCATGCGTCCCGCCCATCCAGAACAGCGGTTCGTGGCCCCACAGGGAGCTCCACCGAAGGTCCCAGTGGCGCAGGTTGCATGCGTCCCCACCCAGGACAGCGCTTCGTGGCCCCATAGGGAGCTCCACCGAAGGTCCCAGTGCCCAGCAGGTTTGCGCATGCGTCCCCCACCCAGGACAGCGCTTCGTGGCCCCGTAGGGAGCAAGGTCCCAGTGGCGCAGGTTGCATGCGTCCCCCCCACCCCGGACAGCGTTTCGTGGCCCCATAGGGAGCTCCACCGAAGGTCCCAGTGGCGCAGGTTGCACGCGTCCCCCCACCCAGGACAGCGTTTCGTGGCCCCACAGGGAGCTCCACCGAAGGTCCCAGTGGCGCAGGTTGCATGCGTCCCCCACCACCCAGTACAGCCCTTGCTTCGCCCACCCAGTGCAGCGTCTCGTGGCCCCATAAGTGGGGCTCCACCGAAGGTCCCAGTGGCGCCGCCCGCGTGCGTCCGCCACCACCCAACACGGCCCTTGCTCCCTGCGTTGCACCACCCAGTACAGGGTTTCGTGGCCCCATAGGGGGTGCCACCGAAGGTCCCTGTGGCGCAGGTTGCATGCGTTCGCCACCACCAAGGAACAGCGTTTCGTGGGCCCCATGGAGAGCTCCACCGAAGATCCCAGTGCGCAGGTTGCATGCGTCCCCCCCAACCCAGGACAGCGCTTCGTGTTTCGTGGCAGGGAGCTCCACGAAGGTCCCAGTGGCGCGGTGCATTTGAGACAACGCCACCCAGTGACAGCGCTTCGTGGCCCCACAGGGAACTCCACCGAAGGTCCCAGTGGCGCAGGTTGCATTGCGTCCCCCCACCCGTACAGCGCTTCGTGGCCCCACAGGGAGCTCCACCGAAGGTTCCCAGTGGCGCAGGTTGCATGCGTCCCCCCCCACCCAGGACAGCGTTTCGTGGCCCCACAGGGAGCTCCACCGAAGATCCCAGTGGCGCAGGTTGCATGCGTCCCCCCCACCCAGGACAGCGTTTCGTGGCCCCATGGAGAGCTCCACCGAAGATCCCAGTGGCGCAGGTTGCATGCGTCCCCCCCACCCAGGACAGCGTTCCATGCCACCTCCTGCCCGCGCTGCCCTGTGCCTCGTGCATGCAGTGGCGCGGTGCCTATGAGAAGAGGGAGCTAGTTTGCGTGCCCCCCCTCCCTCGTCTCATATCCTGCGCGGCACTCGCAGCTGCATATGGTTGGGTCCTTCGTCAGGCTAATGTTTGAAAGGGACGGCGGGGGTGCAAGCAGATGGCCTGCTGTAAGCAAGGCCACAAGCCATTTCAAACAACAATACGAACTGCACCTCGCGGCAAAATCTGGATCATGCGCGGGCACCCCGCGATCACTTGGCATTGGTGTCTGACAAGGACGGCGGAGGTGATGGCACATTGCCTGCTGTGTGCAGGCCGGTCAGACATAATGATGGCCACTCCGCCGCGATTAGCGCTGGTTTTCGGCACGCGCCCTCCGCGTGCCCCGAACGCTGCCCCGAACGCGGCCCACCTGGCGCGGCTGGAGCATGCGGCACACTTGGCGCTGGTGAGGCGCGTGACGCATCTGGCGCACCAGGCGTGCCTGGCACAATTGGGCCTGGACTCCGAATTGTTTGCCAGTAACTGCCCATCCACAGACGACCGCTGAATACGCCGAGACTGAGGCACTACTCATAGGTCGGGAGCCGGAGCGGGAGTGAGCCAAACAGCTTGCATCAGGGAGAGGTGCCTTGACCATCCCTCATGGCCCATACCCCCTCTCCCCAGGGTCTGGACAGATGGGGATGCGACCGAGCGGAGCCTCCAAGAGAGCCTCCCCCGCAGGGCAGCTCTTCTGGGCATCGATCGTGTCTGGATGACGTGGGCGGAAAACATGTCCGTATCCATGGCTTCGCGGGCGGGGCCCCTGGGCTTCGCGACTCCACGGGTGCAGGTCATGTTTTCGCGGATGCCCCGCGCGGGACGTCTCCGTGCGACCGCGGGTCCGCGGATGGACACGTCCGGCGCTCCTGGCGATGGGCCGGTGGGGATGCGCGAAGCATTAAGAATGTACACGAACCGAGCACGCGAATGACTGAGGAGGACGAGCAGTTTCGGAATGCGGGTGAGCGTGAAGAGAAAGTCCAGGGAGGAGAATTTTGAAAACGAATTACCGTGTACCCATCGGTCGGAAGACATAGGTGGAACCATGAAGCAGGAAGGCGCTGGAAGCAGATTGCGCTTCCGCCCGCCCCCTGAAGAGGAGGAAAGAGGAAAAAACGCCCGAACCTTGAAGTAGAAATCTCAACGACCAGCGCGCAAGGGGGAGCAGCAACAACAGAGCCACCCAGCCTGCGGATCTGCCGACACCATGAAGTTGTCCTGCACCGCACCGGGTGGGCTGCCTCCCACCTTCCTCCCCGACACTCCCCACCCTCCAGGCTACGTGTGCGAGCTGCCCGCTATCCTGAAATAGGCCAGGGGCACACAGATAAATAGACACAAATCCCAGGGTCCCTCATATTTGTCATACCTTCTGGGATTTCGTCTTCCCCTCCACTTCCCATATGATTGAATATTGTCCTTGGAATCGACGCTTATTTGTGTCTGTGTCTTCGTTCCCTCCTGAGCTACGTGCGCGAGCTGCCCGCCATTTCTAATGCCCGTCTCTGGTCCTGCCCCAAAGCGGAAGAAGCGGGGGTGCTCCCACTCTGCATGCATGCTCACGTATAGCCGCCTCCGCGTACGGAACTCAGCGCATCAGCCTGTACAAGGCCGGCCGAGTCATGATTCTTGCTGTTCTCACTGCTGCTTCACATCAAACTGTTCATACTTCTGTTGGCGGCTTTTCGGTATGCAGTCTCAGTGGCCTGAAGGGGAACTGGTTGCCTACACCTCCGCCGCCGCCATCACGTTCCCAACAGCCAGCAGCAAAGAGGTCATCACCAGTGGCGCGTTGTCGGCAAGTGGCGCACTGCTCCTTCCCCCATTGCCTCTTGACCCTGCTCTACTCATGCTTCCAGCTCGTTTTGTTCCCTTTCCTCGGACATCCACGAGAAGGCAGGTTTAGCCGTGCACTATTCCTCCTCTTCCTCCTCCTGGGCAGCTCGATTTCAAGATTTCCAGGCTCCAGCGGCTCTCCCAGAGCACAGGAAACTGCCGCGCAGCAGCCAGACCGTCGGCTCAACAGACGGGCCAGGTTTCGCCAGGCGGACAAGCAGGAACAGCATGAACATCCTGAGGCTGGGCGAGTGAGAGGTGACGCGTCAGGCGCCGAGTCCTCATGCAGACATTGTGCAGGAAGCCAACACTCCCTTGCCCCCGTGGGACTCCCCCATTCGCGCTCGCGTTCCCCTCGGTGTTCATTCGGGGATTTGGCAAATCATATCAGCAAAAAGGAAGACGGAGAGCTTCTCAAGTCCGCACAGAAAACGATGTGTGCTCTCCTCGCTTGATGTGTGCCCGTCGTGAAGCCCTGGCAATGGAGATGGCGACAGCTTCTCTGAGGCCGAGTATCAGAAAGACCTTTCCCCTGACAGGGAAAAGGGTGCCTTAAAAACATGTCGTCCAGCTCTTTTGGCTGGTCACTCCTTTGCCATCGCGTGCGGCCAGGGCACGTTGCCACCAGAAGCACGCCCTTTCTTTTTCTTCTTCCGGTCGATGCGTCTGTCTTCAGCCAGGCCAAATGTCAGCATCATAAGAGCAAGCCGTCTCAGGTGGATGTATCCCATGTGTTCCCATCCGACGTATAGCCCGTGTCAGAAAAATGTGGCCTGTCATGCAACAACGGTCGTTATCATTGCTCACAATGCAAGCATCCGATTTGCAGCAATGCGCTTGTTGTGACAAGAGTACGGTTGACGGCCTTTGGAGGGGAGTTAGGTTGTGCAAACGTGGCAAAAGATTCAGTTGTAAAAAATGCTGGGTTTCCCACTCGCTGCCAGCGGAACAGGAGTTGTGGACCCAGTCTTTACTGGGTTACCTGGTCAAGGACAGGGGTCTGGGGAAACCTCAGCCAGGTTAGTAAAGGATGGCAGTTGCTTGACGCGAACATCCTGCTCCCTTCCCGCGTGGGGGATCCCCTTTCGATCTCCCTTCTTATGTTCTCATAACCCGTCTCAATGATGTGCTGCCGCGCCGGAATTGGTCTTCGGACTGTTCTCCATACTTAGATTCGAGCTTCAGCCCCGGAGGCCCAAACCTGCTTATCCAGTTCGGGGCCCATGTCGCTCGTTCTCCGCTGGGACACCCCCACTGTCCCAACACACCTTCGCATGGTCCATTTATTTGTCGTAGTGCTTCCTGTTGCTCCGTTTTCTTTGCGAGTTGGCACTGCCTTCTCCAATTGGCCCAAGCCTGCTTTTTTCGATCAGGGGCCTTCCCCCCCTTGGCGCTCCTCGTGCGGGTCTCCCCCAGTTCGACAGCGTGCTTCGCGCCTTTGAGTGGCTAGTGACTGCCCGAGCTGCTACTATGGGTTGGGAGGGGTGAGCGCTGTGTTGAGAGGTGATGGTTCTTGCTACTGTGCTTCGCTCAGGAGTTCTCGCGCCCAGGAATTATCGGCGAACTGGCCCTCCAGTCAGGTTCGGAAGGCAACGTCGTCGTTTCACTATGTTGCCGAACGCATTCCGCCATCATTGGACTGCTGTATGCAAGCCCATGTCTTCCTCATTTGATATCCCCTTTTCCCGTCTTCGCGCCCACGTTCGCTTGCTGAGGCGCACGCGGTGCGTGAGCTCGCTATCTAGGGCGGCTCCTTTGGGACGGCGGGGGATGGAGGGAGGAGTCGGCTCACTGGAGCCTTCCATTCGCATGTGTTTGCCGTTCGCCTCCGTCTCG